TCATGTGGTGACTATTGAAAAACCCTGTCGGGTGTAATCTACAGAGAGAAACACTACTGATATATCAGAATTTCATCGATATTATTATATATTATAGTTGATTTCCTCATTGACTGTTTTCTTTCTATACCTTGAAGAGTGAGCACTGATCTGATAAGGTGATTGTTCCATGAGCAGAGATGATGGAACATAATTTCTGTTATCAACCACAAAGTGTCGTGGGGCATTGAGTCTTCCATACATATCGAAAATACTGTGCCTTCCCTGCATTGCCCTATTCTGAGACAAAACTGAAATAAAACACAATGAACTGAATGATCATGCATGTAATGTAAAATCCTTGGAACCATGAAATAGGCATGGCACGTGCAACGAGCTCGATCAAAACATGATTTTACTATATTAAGGTTCTGAAAAATTTACCTTGGCCAGACTCATCAAGCTTTTTACTTCGATACATCTGAATTCCAAAAAGATAAACTAAGACGTTGCAAGAAAAATTATTTGGAAAAACTATTTCTTGCTGGAGTACAATAAAGCAGCAATTGTTGTATATTTATACCTGTAAATGGCTCTTTACATGTGCAATGCTAAGTCCTCTCACATTCATCAACTGGAGAACCAACTTGGGGGTTGCTCCTGTACAGAAAATTATCACAGAAAACGTAAGATTGTAGAATGTTTGGAAATGGATTATTTCAAAAAATCTTTCAGAAATTAAAGTAATTAAAATCCATGAGCTTGTAGAATGAAAAACAAATTTATTTGCCTAATTTCTCCATTTATTCACGTGCAATAAAGTCCATGACTAGAAGAAGTAATTAAAGTTTGTAGGCTTGAAAACTGATCATGATGAGGATTGCTCTAAATAGTTGGTGAGTTTGAATAGAAAGAGGAATTGTGCAGGTTTCTCAAGAGGGTCTGAGTAACCTTCTGTAACACAAGTAGTCAAAGTTTGAGTAAGTTTTTAAGTTCAAACACATTGTCTTCATTGTACATAGAAAAAGTGTATATGCTTGAAGTGAGTTGCACTTACTTTCTTGTCCACCAAGCCTGTCGACAGCATGCACAAAAGCTAAATGAAGATCAGGGGTCCAACGGAGTCTTGGCATTTTGGACCGAACATATTGCCTAACAGCAGTTCCACGCTCTTTCCCTTCATCACTTGAGTTATTGTTACTACTCAAATTACCCTCTTGAGATGATATCTCATTGTTACTGATGGGATCATCACTGGTGCTACCATCTCCATCATCCACAGCTTCTTCATTCAAATCGAAGAATGAACGTTTTCTTCTGAGACTTGCAGAAGAGGGTCTGCTACTTTCACTCTTTTCTTCCTCAGATATACAAATTCTCTCATCCATTTCTATTAAATTAATTTATTCTATATGCTCCTTTTCTTCTGCAGGTAGAGAGATGGTATAGAGTGAAGTCAGAAAAACAACAAAAATATAAGTTTGTCATTTGTTCAAAGTATTGCCATAACCAAGATGATATGTTGCACATGTGGGAAAAAAAAAATTAAATGTAGTTTTAATTTAATCAGTTGTGCTGATCTTGAAGACACTATACATGATGCTTTAGAAGGACTCCGTGTCTTCTTACATTTGTACCATAAATTTATTACCAGTTTTGCTTGTTCCTAGGTCTTGGAATTCCACACTAACCAATATATAACCTACAATTTGGAAAATTGTGATGACATGTATAGAAAAACGCACCACCTACAATAAATCTAAGTGAAAGTGCAGTACGTGATCTAAATAGTTTTAGTTTTAATTCTTGTGAATATTAGTTTGTTTTCTTTTTATTATTTCACACTCTAACAAAATATGGCCTACTTTTTTCATGTTTTTGTTTTCTGTTTCTAAGGGGATGTGGTAGATGTCTATACGCTCACATTTGAAGTTCCACAAAACAACATGATCAATCAGAATTCTGGAAGCAAACTAATCCTTTTTAATTTCAAGTGCTAGAGAAGGATGAGATCTACAACCAAGAAAACTCAAGACTTGAAGTCAAACAACTGGTTATTCATAAAAATTAAGCATATATATATATATATATGTATATGTATATATATGTGTGTATGTATATGTATGTATTATACTAAAAGAGTAAAAAAAGTGTAGATGAGAAGACTGAGCAATTTGAATTGTTCAAAAGGTGGAAGAGAAATAGAGATAGAGTAGTTTTGAGCAAACCATTGGTGACGATGGAGCTTAAATAGCAGCTTAAAGTATTCCTTCCAAGATAACTGATGAGACCAGAGATTATTAAACAGAAGCCAAACCTAGTTTCCAAGATCCAACAAAACCAATTTTGTTGGAGACGCAGAAATCTATTTTGCAGAGGTTGATTGAAGCATATCTAGTGATGGCAGAGAAGTAAGTAGTGTTTGAGGCCTCTGGTGTTGATGGATCCAATATTGTGTAGATGAAAGGAAACCCTATATATGTCCACAGAGAGAGTGATTACTTCTGGCAAGGTTCCTTTCTGTAAGAGGTTGAGGGTGCATTATTAGCAAGTGGGACTGGTTGGAATGTAAGGAAAATTAAGCCTAAAATACCACTAGTCATCGCACATCAAATCAAATATTCTCAGAAATTAGTATATTCAATATAATAAAATATTTTACATGTAGAAGACGATGGTCGGACAAAACCATATTGTATTTTCTCTGACTAATAATATTTTTTACATTTTGATATTAAAACATTTGAGTTAGCATGTAGCTAGCCGGAGCTAACAGATATACTAGATCAAAGGCACACATATGACCCCTATTTTGTACTATTGAGAATCATGTGATTTTTTTATAACCCTTTTGTTTTTCCAATTTTTCTTTGACAGGTTGTGTCCCTTGCCTCTTTCTAGTTTCCTTCTTGCAATTAACCTATCTGTGATAATCTTTACTATTAATGTCATTAGTTGACCTCTGTTACTGAAAAATCCCCTTTATTTCTTTATTTTTATAAAAATATTCTTAATTAGGTTTGTAGCCATAGTACATATCAATTTTGAAGGCGTATATTGACCAACATTTATATCTCTGAGCTAATAACTTTTTTATTCTTGCATCTTTCACTGCATGCTGATATATTCTTTCGGCTACCAGTCTCATCACAATCGTTTTGAATACTGTTGCATATCTTATAATCAAGTTTATGATTTATGAGCAGAAAAATTAAGTATAGTATATTGATTAGTACCAAAATTCCAATAAAGAATTACTCTATATATTCATCCTATAATGCCCTATCTCCTCAAGTGTCTAACTTGACAAACAAAGATTTTTAGACTTTTCAAAGTTTTGTCTTGGTAAGCTATATCTGTTTCAACTTGGAAAAGTAAAACTCTAGCAAGCCATATATATANACTTTACAATATACAAATTAAAATTAAAAATGTTTATGTTAAAAAAATTGTAGATGACAAAGTATTTTTTTGTAATACGGTTTTCTTCGTACAAATCCATCCCAAATAAACGTAAATGTATTTCATTAGTAAATGTATAATTAAAGGGAAGAAAAAAACTATAAACTTAGATACAAATTAAGTCAAGTCAACAGTTTTTGTAAAGAAAACATTTTATCATTTAATACTTTTCACACATAATAAATTAAACGTATTGACTCGTTTTCTTCTTTTTTTAAAGGTTATTAAATACGTGTTTGAATATGCCTCTCAATTAAAGAAACGATGTCAATTCTTAAAAAAAATGCAGCAGTTAAAGCTATCGTTGCCACATTCACATCTCATCAGAAGCAAAACATTGTATAAACTGGGGATTGGTGCTTAAAAAATAAGTTGTATATAGAATTGCATTGGAGAGAAACCATATATATAAGAAAATCTTTTAATTTACTTATTCTCATAATTAGGCAAATCAAATTGTGATTAAGGTAGCAGTTTTATTACCTCGGCATCAAACTTGGCGTGGCCAGTGAAGTTAGGACTGCAAGAACTACGCTGATACTGATAATTACGCAGATCTTTGTCCCACACTGAACTAGATCTTATCATCATGTGGTGACTATTGAAAAACCCTGTCGGGTGTAATCTACAGAGAGAAACACTACTGATATATCAGAATTTCATCGATATTATTATATATTATAGTTGATTTCCTCATTGACTGTTTTCTTTCTATACCTTGAAGAGTGAGCACTGATCTGATAAGGTGATTGTTCCATGAGCAGAGATGATGGAACATAATTTCTGTTATCAACCACAAAGTGTCGTGGGGCATTGAGTCTTCCATACATATCGAAAATACTGTGCCTTCCCTGCATTGCCCTATTCTGAGACAAAACTGAAATAAAACACAATGAACTGAATGATCATGCATGTAATGTAAAATCCTTGGAACCATGAAATAGGCATGGCACGTGCAACGAGCTCGATCAAAACATGATTTTACTATATTAAGGTTCTGAAAAATTTACCTTGGCCAGACTCATCAAGCTTTTTACTTCGATACATCTGAATTCCAAAAAGATAAACTAAGACGTTGCAAGAAAAATTATTTGGAAAAACTATTTCTTGCTGGAGTACAATAAAGCAGCAATTGTTGTATATTTATACCTGTAAATGGCTCTTTACATGTGCAATGCTAAGTCCTCTCACATTCATCAACTGGAGAACCAACTTGGGGGTTGCTCCTGTACAGAAAATTATCACAGAAAACGTAAGATTGTAGAATGTTTGGAAATGGATTATTTCAAAAAATCTTTCAGAAATTAAAGTAATTAAAATCCATGAGCTTGTAGAATGAAAAACAAATTTATTTGCCTAATTTCTCCATTTATTCACGTGCAATAAAGTCCATGACTAGAAGAAGTAATTAAAGTTTGTAGGTTTGAAAACTGATCATGATGAGGATTGCTCTAAATAGTTGGTGAGTTTGAATAGAAAGAGGAATTGTGCAGGTTTCTCAAGAGGGTCTGAGTAACCTTCTGTAACACAAGTAGTCAAAGTTTGAGTAAGTTTTTAAGTTCAAACACATTGTCTTCATTGTACATAGAAAAAGTGTATATGCTTGAAGTGAGTTGCACTTACTTTCTTGTCCACCAAGCCTGTCGACAGCATGCACAAAAGCTAAATGAAGATCAGGGGTCCAACGGAGTCTTGGCATTTTGGACCGAACATATTGCCTAACAGCAGTTCCACGCTCTTTCCCTTCATCACTTGAGTTATTGTTACTACTCAAATTACCCTCTTGAGATGATATCTCATTGTTACTGATGGGATCATCACTGGTGCTACCATCTCCATCATCCACAGCTTCTTCATTCAAATCGAAGAATGAACGTTTTCTTCTAAGACTTGCAGAAGAGGGTCTGCTACTTTCACTCTTTTCTTCCTCAGATATACAAATTCTCTCATCCATTTCTATTAAATTAATTTATTCTATATGCTCCTTTTCTTCTGCAGGTAGAGAGATGGTATAGAGTGAAGTAAGAAAAACAACAAAAATATAAGTTTGTCATTTGTTCAAAGTATTGCCATAACCAAGATGATATGTTGCACATGTGGGAAAAAAAAA